CAGGATGAAGTCAGCTGTTGGTTTAATGTCAGTGCTGCCCTTCTCTTTTGTGTGACTTTTATTTGATTATGCTGGCTTCATAGTGTCTCACCTGTGACAAATTGCTATGTTGTTATGAATTACCACCCTGAACACGCCCGATCTCGTCTGATCTCGGAAGCTAAGCAGGGTCGGCCTGGTTAGTACTTGGATGGGAGACCTCCTGGGAATACTGGGTGCTGTAGGGAAAAAAAAAAAAAGTAAATACAAAAAACACCGTCCCCAAGTCCCCACATCCGGTAGCCATGAGGTGAGCCAGTCCCAGACCTCCTGGAATCCAGCGCTGGTAGTGTCGAGGCTGATGTGGTGGAATAGGGCTGCCTGTTGCTTGAAGATGTGGATGTCAGTTTCCACCCTATGGTGCTGATTTACAAATACACAACAGCTTGAGTTGACCAGAGCACAAACCCCGCCCTGATTTGCAAGGAGATAATCCAGGGCTAGGCGGTTTTGCAATGTAGTTTGGGATAGCTGGGTGACTTCAATTTGAAGGGCAGATAAAGCATCTGCAGTAGCATTTGCCATTAGTTCCAAAGCAGCTGAAATGTTAACTATAGCTTTTTCCAGCTCACTTACTCCCAAACGTGGCAGAAACCAACGCACAAAGGAGCGAAAGCCTTTGGGCCATTGAGAAAGGGGGTTTAAAGGAATACTTCGTCGGTCCCTCCATACTAGATTGCGGATCTCTCCCCAGGTCAGGTTCTGGTGTACTGTCACGGCGGGTACTATAGCCCCTAAGGTACATGTACCACACCATCCTGCTGGGAGAACCGTATAGGCTGTGTGATTGCATAACCAATACCAGCCAGACCCCTTGGGGACTGGCCACGGGGTCCTGGAGTAGGTAGAGGGGCCTCCCGCACCAGAGCTGATTTGGGTGGTGTCCTTGCACCCCACAAAATTCCCTACAAAAACTATTTTCTATGCCCTTACGTCGTGACACACACAAAGCATAATTACCCTGGGCCACCATATCAATAGACCATATTTGGATTGTAACATTCCAGTTAAATGTAGTGTTTGCCCATAGCTTAGTTTGGAGTGTTCGATTAAGGGGGATAGGTACCCCTACCAATGGGACCCCCTGACCTAAATATGTGGGGGTATGAATACAAATCCAACACTGCGTTCGATTTACACCCTGTTTGATAGCACGGGTTAAATTCAAGAAGCTATTGCCCTCCCATCCTTGTACTGGACTTGGGAATAGGGAGAGGACCCCCTAGGTAAACCATACCAATGTTGACATCCTCCCCTGAACCATACAAAAAACACTACCCCCAATGTAAGTCCAATAAACAGGAACACAAAAAGTCCTGGTGGGCTGTGAAGGTCCCAGTAGCTGGAAAGCTTAGTCCATGGGTTGGTCGTGGTGTTCATTCGTGAAGTGGCTCGTCCAATGGCTTGTCAGGGTCAGGTGGGGGTCCCAGCGCCAACTTAACGTAGCTATGATGGATCCAGGAACCTTTACCTGCAAAGGAGTGGTGGCAGATGGTGGGAGTAATGTTTGTGGCTGTAAGGCGTTTTTGGTATTTATACTTGCCTACAAGCACAGGTTCCAGCCTCTGGAATAAACCCATCCCACCACTTTACTTCACATTCCCAAGAATACATCCCGCAACTTCCTCCCTGCCAATGTACAATGCTCCGCCTTTGCTATCAAGGCCAATTTTCAGTGTCTTTTGCAGTCAGGAATCCTTGGATTTTGGTGGTTTTAGCAGAGCAGGCGTTTCTTCTTTTTTCTTGGAACAGTCATGGTTTTGCATTATACAGGGGAGAGGTTACTAGCACGTCACCCTGTAGTGCTTTGGTTTCTTTAGCAAATACTGAATGCAGGTTAGCTTTGTCAGTGGACAAGGGAAAGGTTACTAGCACTTCACCTTGTTTTTTTTCCTGCTGTCCAAAAGGAGGAAAGAAAAAAAAACCCAGAAGGAGGGACAGGCTGATCAGTAGTCGAAGTGAAGTTATCTTGAGGTGGAGGGGTCTTTTTGCAGTAAGAAGCATGGGTCCAGGCAGTCGGTCCTTGGCACTTCACAGCAGTGTTGGTAGTTAGCAGGACTTAATAAGGGCCTTTTCAGCATGGGGCCAGAGTAGTCTTTTGTTGATGGACCTTTAGGTAAACCCAGTCACCTGGTTTTAACAAATGGCGGGTTTGCTCAGGATTCTTGAAGCAGGACTTCTTTTACCTGTAAATACAGAGACCTAACACATTTCATTAATGTCTGGTAGTGTGTTGCAGATCTCACAGCTGCTTGGGCACATTCAAGCCCCCCTCTTTCTTGGCTGTTAGCCAAATCCTAGCTGTGAGTAGTGTCCTTGGGCAGGCCAGTGTCTTGTCTTTGGACCGAGCCTGCCAGCTACAGCGTTGAATTAGCTCGTCCTCCGTTTTATTTCTTTTCCCCTTCTTGGCTTTTATTAACCTGCAAAGGAAGCTTTCACTTTTTACTCATACACCTTTGTTTAAAAAGGAACACATGTACATTGCCCATTATACAGCACTTTAGTCTTATTGTTTAATGTATGCCACATACACCCTTCTAGGAAAATGACTTTATTACAGAGCTTTGGAGCAACAAGCCAGGACAAGCACACCCACTTTTGAGGAGTCCACTTGGTACAACCTCTGGTGTCCAATAGCTTTCCTCCCTCCCCAGCCCTCTGGCTAGAAATGTGAGGTAGCCAGAAGGATCTCATGTATAATATGGGGAGTGGGTTAACCTTTCATGTCCTTGCTTCCAAAGACTGTTGGTGTGCAAATTTTAACAACAATTTTTTCAATTAAAAGATCTGGCCAATGAAATTTTTTTTTTTTTTTTTTTTTTTTTACTTAAGCAAATGTATCAAACTTTAGTATATCACATTTTTTTGATATTATCCAAACACTTTGTATTCCAACTTGAATAAAACAAGTATCTCCATTTTGATTTAACCCTTCTATTTAGTTTTAAACTAAATTGTCCTATGAAAAATTAAACACAGCAGTTCTGGCCACAAGACAGGACATAGAACACAGAACAGAGTTCCTATTGTGCCAGTAAATTCATGAGATGTTGAATTGCTTTTCAGCTGGCATCAATTTTCTCTGATTTTCTGAAAGACAAAAAAACCCACAGATCTACCCCTTTTGGGCAGTCAGTCATTGCTTAAAATATTTCCTTTTTATACAAATACCTTTGTTAATTGCAGGCAAAACAGAGGAATTACCCATATTTTCTTGTATTTGTTTTATAGGCAGCCCAGGTTTCAGTGGCCTCTACCTTATCAGTTAAGTAATTTACATTAAAACAAATGCTTTCCGGCTTGCTTTTGGATCCACAGGTTAAAGATTCTTACTTTAAAAAGGGCACAATAAACTTTACCAGACTTTTGATTGCCTTTTACTTTTAACTCCTGCTGTCAAACACACAGCGACCTGAAAAGGAAGACACCACCTATTGTAGCCCCTTGGAACCTAATAAGATATTAATTAAGTAGCACTGTATAATTGCATTTCTTTAGAAAAGGGCCCATTTTTTTCCAAAATGGCTGCAAAGAAACCAAGAATTCTTTTTCTTTCCAGTATTTCACAAAGTTCAACTGCTTAATTCTTTCCAGCAACTAAAGAGTTAACTTCTTACTTTCCTTTCTTAAATCACTTGCTTATTTCCCAAAACGACACCCAATTAACTTAGATTTTACCATTCCAAGTATTATTCTGGGATTTACGTTTTCCATTCCTGTAATTATTTACTCCTCTTTTTTCACTATGACCATCAAGTTTCCAACCTGTTTTCCAATCTCTCTATCTGTTGCCTGCCCACTTGGGCCCGATCCTGTTTTTTTTCTCTGAACTGTCCCTTCCATGAGCACCAGCTTTGTTTCACTACCAAATTAACAAGGAGGGTGGGCTTCTTAACTAGCCCCCAGCCCTCCTGGTCTCTTTTCTTAAATATTTTCACTTACAAGGGCTACCTGAGTCCTCCCCCCATGAGGCTTGTCACCTGGACAGAAAGCACGGCTAATTGGCAAGCAAGGAGGTGACAGGCATAAGTCAGAAAGCCGAGGGTAAGTCGGAGGAGGAGCAGAAGCAGGCATAGCACAGAGGGGTTGGAGACCCCTGAGATGAATAAGAAAAGGAGGAGGAAAGAGGACGTCCTTTCGCATGCGCATAAGCCCAGTTTTCCCATACATACCAATAATCCGTCTGGGCTGGAGCTTTGCTTTCCAGCCTTTTCCTAAGCGCTGTTAATTTTTCCCCAGCAAAGGAACCATCTGGTGGCCAGTCAAAAGGTGTTTGAGTTGTTAGTGCTGGCCACTCAACCTTGCACAAGATTACAGCTTTTTTTTTTAACCTAACCCATGGGTACCAGAAATATTCCCCCAATTCTCGAGAATTTCAGCCAAAGGGGTCCCCTTACTTACACTCTGCCCAGAACCCATAATGGGCTACCAAAAGGACACCAAATGTGCCACCTTATCGCCTAAGCGACGGCTCACACTCCCCCCTCCTTGGAGTTCTCAAAGGTGAACTCACCCTGTGCTGTCTGGAGCTGTCTGAGAGGAGGAGTGTAGTCTCGCTTGTTGGGGCGAGCCTAGAGTCCCATCTGGATCGCCAAAACTGCTGCGAATTATACCTGGTAGGACACGCACACAAATGCTGCGAATTATACCTGGTAGGACACGCACAGTTCGAATCTAGGCTGAGGCACAGAAACAAAGTCCACAACTGCAGAGTTCCCAAAAGACACTAAGTTTATTACGCTCGAGCGTGGTGCCCCCCTGCTAGCCAGGAGGGGACCCTGAATACAGATTATACAAAGGTTAAATACTTTTTAGCAAAGCATGTTGCCTTCGTGCATCGGAAACCTTCGCCAATAAACAAACCCTTGTCTTATCTACCACCTATCCCTGCTTGGTGCATTCCTCATGCTATACTAGTATGTTAATTACACAACATGGTCCTAAAGCCATGCATCAGTAACCTTTATTATCAGGATGGGAGGCCTCACATCAAGGCCAAGAGACAGGGAGTTAGAGACTGACAAAAACCAGATACTGGGAGTCAAGGCAGGCTGGAGACAAGGAGGAGGATTTTCACAGGGATTCAGTATCTCAGGATCACTCCTCCTGGTGTATGATGTGCTGGCATTTAAACAATGGTGGGCCCCAAACCAAAATGGAGTCACATGTGCTAACTTTTCCTTAACACTGTAATGCTTCCGAGATCACTTACCCTCTGATCCTCATGCGTCATATGAGTATCCTGGTGAGTCAAGTCCAAGACTGAAAACAGAGCATGTCTGAGGTCTGTGTGTAAAGTCCACAACTCCCTGGAATGCTGAGGCTTTAAGATAACATCTTGAACCTCTTACAAGAAAAGAGGAATTTCCTGATGCAGTTGAATCTTTCATTCAACAGAGCATTTGAGAAAGGTGAATAGATATTGAACCTGTCATAAGGACTAATGTAATTGCTTTGGTTTTAGTTTTGTTTGCAAACTGAATTTAACAAGGGCTACTGAAGCAGGCTAATGTTAGCAGAGGCTGGAATCGTTGCTGGAATCTTCTTCTTAGCATATGCATAACATGACTTAAGTAGCACATGCCCAGGATCATAGAATAGCAGGGTTGGAAGGGACCTCAGGAGGTCATGTAGTCCAACCCCCTGCTCAAAGTAGGATGCATCACTGAATTTGATCTGCTGGTTGGATCATTAGTTTGCCTGGGCTGGGTACTGACGGGGACATACGTTGATCTCTTTTAGAAGGAGCATGAAAATACCTTCTTCATGGATCATGTTTTCTAAACATCTTACCATTTTTGTTGCTCTCCTGGACTCTTTCCAGTGTGTCCACATCTTCCTTAAAGTGTGGGGCCCAAAACTGGACATAGTTTTACAGCTGAGGCCTCATTGCCGAGTAGAGTGAAAAAATTACCTCTTGTTCCTTGCATATGACATTCTTGTTAATACATTGCAGAATGACATTTGTCATTTTCATAACATTATATGAGTAACTCCCATTGACTTCAATGGAAGAGTAAAGCCCCAGGATGGACAGGAGGAAATCTTAAAATGACTTATGCAGTGAGAACCTGAAGCTTGGATTTGTTTGTCATATAGTGCTAAAGGAGTTGGCGGATGTGATTGCAGAGCCATTGGCCATTATCTTTGAAAACTCATGGTGATCGCGGGAAGTCCCAGGCGACTGGAAAAAGGTTAATGTAGTGCTCATCTTTAAAAAAGGGAAGAAGGAGGATCCGGGGAACTACAGGCCAGTCAGCCTCACCTCAGTCCCTGGAAAAATCATGGAGCAGGTCCCCAGGGAATCAATTCCTGATCACTTTCCTCTCCTCTAAGTGCTTCAGAACACTCAGCATGGATTCACCAAGGGAAAGTCATGCCTGACTAATCTAATTGCCTTCTATGACGAGATAACTGGCTCTGTGGATGAGGGGAAAGCAGTGAACGTGGTGTTCCTTGACTTTAGCAAAGCTTCTGACACTGTCTCCCACAGTATTCTTGCCAGCAAGTTAAAGAAGTATGGGCTGGATGAATGGACTATAAGGTGGATAGAAAACTGGCTAGATTGTCGGGCTCAATGGGTAGTGATCAATGGCTCCATGTCTAGTTGGCAGCTGGTATCAAGTGGAGTGCCCCAAGGGTTGGTCCTGGGGCCGGTTTTGTTCAATATCTTTATTAATGATCTGGAGGATGGCGTAGATTGCACTCTCAATAAGTTTGCAGACGACACTAAACTGGGAGGACAGGTAGATATGCTGGAGAGTAGGGATAGGATACAGAGGGACCTAGACAAATTAGAGGATTGGGCCAAAAGAAATCTGATGAGGTTCAACAAGGACAAGTGCAGAGTCCTGCACTTAGGATGGAAGAATCCCATGCATCGCTACAGACTAGGGACTGAATGGCTAGGCAGCAGTTCTGCAGAAAAGGACTTAAGGGTGACAGTGGATGAGAAGCTGGATATGAGTCAACAGTGTGTCCTTGTTGGCAAGAAGTCCAATGGCATTTTGGGATGTATAAGTAGGGGCATTGCCAGCAGATTGAGGGACGTGATCATTCCACTCTATTCAACATTGGTGAGGCCTCATTTGGAGTACTGTGTCCAGTTTTGGGCCCCACACTACAAGAAGGATGTGAAAAAATTGGAAAACATCCAGCGGAGGGCAACAAAAATGATTAGGGGACTGGAACACATGACTTATGAGGAGAGGCTGAGGGAATTGGGATTGTTTAGTCTGCGGAAGAAAAGAATGAGGGGGGATTTGATAGCTGCTTTCAACTACCTGAGAGGTGGTTCCAGAGAGATGGTTCTAGACTATTCTCAGTGGTAGAAGAGGACAGGACAAGGAGTAATGGTCTCAAGTTGCAGTGGGGGAGGTTTAGGTTGGCTATTAGGAAAAACTTTTTCACTAGGAGGGTGGTGAAACACTGGAATCTCCTCCCTTTGAAGTTTTTAAGGTCTGGCTTGACAAAGCCCTGGCTGGGATGGTTTAGTTGGGGTTGGTCCTGCTTTCAGCAGAGGGTTGGACTAGATGACCTCCTGAGGGGACTTCCAACCCTGATAGTCTATGATCAGAAAATACAGTTGGACCTGTTTCTTGTTGTAATAGGGTCTAACTTGCAAAGCGCAGTATAGGGCACATCTTGAGTTTATTTATCAATGTGGTGTTTTTATGTGTGAGGGGCACCATGTTGTATTTACTATCATGGTTTATGCTCTTAAAAAAACCAAGAAAATAATTCAGCAGTTGATTCTCTGTCTTACCTTTTGTGTCAGCACTTACACCTGTGCACAGTGGGTGTAAAACACACCAATTAGAATAGTGGCATTATACACTCACTTTGCACAAATTTAGATGATACAAATTACAGCCAGTAGAAAATGACTCTCCTTACTAAACAGGAATGGTTAAAATACTAAGGAAAGAAATGAGGGTGCTACAAGCGCAGATTGAAAGGAAGATAGTTTTGTTATTGCTATCATAGTTTTAACAGGGTCCCAGTTTGCTCAATTGCTAACACTAACTCAAGTCCTGCCTCTGTCTGGCAGGATAGCTAGTAAGCCCAGTGTTTCTCCCTAGGTTGCCATTAGCACGGTCTCCCTTACAGTCTGATTATGAAAAAAATATGTTTCAAACGTTTATTTTGTTAGATGAGGCAGATGATGATGATGACCCTGAGTATAACTTCCTGGAAGATCTGGATGAACCAGACACAGAAGACTTCAGGAATGATCGTGCTGTGAGAATCACCAGTAAGTACTGTTATAACCTAAGCTCAGCTCCTTCAGTACTGCTTCTGTTAGAATTGTTGATCCAAATTGAAAACTTCAGTGTTTGTTGCAAAGGTTTTGCAAGGCAGATGTAATTAAAAAAAAAATAGAACCGACCCCCCATGCTGTTAACTTCACCAGCTCCTCTGTATAGTAATAACTCCCCATAAATGCACGAATGCATCTGGCTAGTGGTGCAGCATTACCATTTCACTGCCATCAGGTACAGCGACTTATTTATTTTGAGTTCTGATGTAGACAAAATGAGACTCTAGCCAAGATACTCTGTGGGTCTGGTGTGGGCGTTAAGGAGGTTAGAAAGGGTTGCACTGAAGGACTTTACTGTTATGCTCAGGCCTTCAGCTGTGAAGTGGGGTCAGAGCTGCATCATTAGGCACATAGAGAGCATGTGGGGAGAAATAGCATCCTGAATGTGGATGAAAACCTTGTGACCACAGTTGTGGGGAGCTGATTGCTTAAGTCACAGATCAAGGAGGTGAAGCCCTTCTGGCATACACAGGGGATTAGGATGGAGTGGCTGAGAAGCAGGCTGTACTTGGATGCTTCAGGGCTGATCCCCATCACAAAGAGAAAATGTAAGAGTATATGAGAGTGTCCTCTTTCTTCCCACTTGTGTTGGAAGGTTTGCAAGCGTTTGTCATCTTCTGAAAAGGAAATCCTGCAAATTGCTGAAATTTTTCTTACTGGATCACTGTTTCTTCATGCACCCTATCTTGTCTCTTACAGAGAAAGAAGTAAATGAACTGATGGAGGAGCTGTTTGAGACCGTAAGGGCAAGTCAATACTATATAATTAAAGTCGACCTTAGTTATATCGACATACAGCCACCACAGTAATTAAATAGTTTTTGCGTGTCCACACTGCACTCCTTGTGTCAGTGGTATGCGTCCTCACTAGGAATGCTTACACCAATTTAACTGTCAGTGTGGGCATTGTGAGATGGCTTCTGAAAGGCAGCAAAAGTTGATGTACGCAATGCAGTGTCTACACTGACGCAGCATGGACCTAAATACATTAACCTAAGCGCGACACCTTTTGCGTAGGTGGAGTTAAGTCAGTGTAGTGGGTGAATTACATTGTTGGGAGCTACATTTTAGAGTAGACGCTTGCAGAGATAGGTTGATGTAAATGTCCTTAGGTTGACTTAACTCGGTAGTGTACACTAGGTCTAAGTGAGACTTTTAACATTATATGGGAGTCTTTCTATCCTGGAACTGACAGAGTGTTTCTGAAGGTGCCATCATAAGCCAAAGAGAGGGGACTTTACTGGATGTCTCAGCATAAACTCCCTTTTAGGGGTCCTGTCATATATGTGCAACTGTCAGGAAGCTAAAGCATTTACCACAGTGAAGACCCAAGGGTGCTGAGTGTGTCTGTGCTGATGGCATCAGTATAGGTCCACTGTGATTAATTTTATACTGAGCCAAAAGCCCCTCGGTACGAAAAGTAATTCCCTTAACCTCAGACAGAGCCTCATACACCTGACAACTGCTGAGCTTTATTTCCTATCAGTTCCAGGATGAGATGGGTTTCTCCAACATGGAGGATGACGGCCCAGAGGATGAGGACACTGTTGCAGAGTCACGGCCGAATTTTAACACACCACAGGTGCTTAGGTATGACTGTCTGGCCTCAATAAGAGCTACAGAGGGTGCCTGGGCAACCAGCTGTCAAATAAAATGTAACAGAAAGAAGATGGAAGCCAAACACATCCCATCCAGATGGCGATGGGGTCCATGGCCCTTTTGCTCTGTGACTCCCTGATACATCACTGTATTTGCTGCAATTTGTAGGCATCGTGGTGGGAGCCAATACAGACAGTGCTCCTCAGTGAGGGGGCCAGGAAGAAGGAGGCAATGCCCTGAAGGAGAGCATAATAGTGGCTTTTATTGGAGGAAAGGCAGTGGACCTCAGAAAAGAGGGGTCATTGAGGGCCTGGATTGTATTCTAGCAACACAGCTGAAGGGTGACAGCTTTTTTAACTTCCTCTGGAGGAGCTCGCTCACTACCTCCAGCTTTCTTGGTAATATGAAGGCACTGTTGAGGAGCTGGGCTGTTCAAGTACAGTAGAACCTCAGAGTTATGAACCCTCAGGAATGGAGGTTGTTCGTAACTCCGAAATGTTCGTAACTCTGAACAAAACGTTATGGCTGTTCTTTCAGAAGTTTATAATTGAACGTTGACTTTACAGCATTGAAACTTTACTATGTAGAATAAAAATGCTGCTTTTAACCATCTTAATTTAAATGAAACAAGTGCAGAAACAATGAGGGGTCCGGTGACTCCTCATTGTTTTTGTGGATACAGACTAACATGCTATCCCTCTGATACTAAGCACAGAAACAGTTTCCTTACCT